TTTCTTGTTCTCGTTCTATTCTTTTGTTTATTATTTGGGGACTAGCGTAAATTTGTTGGGTAATGACTATATATACGGAGGAGCGCGGCTTCATAAAGAGGTGCAGACTTCGAGAAAGCTTCTTGATTCGATGATAACTGAGAAATTCGGTTGCCCACAGAAGATGGGACTTGCTTTGTAATTGAAGGAGGGTGGTTTGAATGACTGTCAATGAAAAGTGGTTCATTGTTAGGCCTTCGATAGGGTTGGTAGCTTTCATCATTTAAATTTAAGGTAATATCTAGGAAGTTGACAGATTGGTGGGTAATTTCTGCGGTGATTTTCAATTGAAACTCATCGAAAACTTGGTGGAGATATTTTCTAGCTTTGTCAGCAAGCCGGGCAGAAGTACCTCGTAGTAGGATTAAACCATCGTCTCGATAAAGGCCGACGCGGTCTTTGCCATATTTCTTTGCCAAGGAATTTAGTATAAATAGGCCTATGAGCTCGCACACTTCTGCTCCATCAAAACTGCCCATGGTTACGTCAAACAAGCCGACTTTCGAGGTTAATAACTAACTTATATCACACTTGCGGGGGTTTTCCAACATATTTTGTCATTTTCAAAATTTTTAATGAAAAATTCTCGCGTTTTGTCTACAAGTTTAATCCAATAATTTATTCAAGGTCTATAAGCTAGTTATAAACCTCAGATGAACAAAGAAAACCGACGCATGTGTGATATAAATATATATATATATATATATATATATATATATATATATATATATATATATATATATATATATATAACTACAGACGGTACCGTTTCGGCCTTATGGGCCTCATCAGTGTAGTGCTGATGAGCAGGATGAAAGTAACTGCTATTTACAGTTACCTTTGATGCCTCACGATTGTGGGACATCAAAACCATGCCAGGGCGCTCAAACGGCAAGCAGTGAGCGTGCGCAATGCGTAAGCGGCAATGGCTCATCCTGTAGAGCGCTCAATATGACCTAAAGGCCATAGAGCGATATCTAACTACAGACGGTACCGTTTCGGCCTTATGGGCCTCATCAGTGTAGTGCTGATGAGCACGATGAAAGTAACTGCTATTTACCAGTTACCTTTCATACCTCACGATTGTGGGACATCAAAACCATGCCAGAGCGCTCAAACTGCAAGCAGTGAGCGTGCGCAATGCGTAAGCGGCAATGGCTCATCCTGTAGAGCGCTCAATATGACCTAAAGGCCATAGAGCGATATCTGAAACACTCCTACGCGTGCATACGATAAAACACTCCTACGCGTGCTTTGAATAGTATATATATATATATATATATATATATATATATATATATATATATATATATATATATATATATATATATATATATATGTGTGTACTATTCAAAGCACGCGTAGGAGTGTTTTATCACATATAAAACACGACGCGTACCGGAGTGTTTTATATGTGATAAAATACGTCGATTACAAGTGCTTTAAATGGCTTCAAAAACGACTCATCTTTTACGAGTTCATTGGCGAAGTAATTTTTAAAATAAACTTTGTCTAAACCGAGAAAATCAAAGCTAAAGTTTACGTAAATTAACATGATTTTTTAACACACATTAAACCACGAGACGCTTATGATTTTTCTTTGTGTTTCCCTCGAGAATTATTAAATTAATGAGGAACATTCAGTTTCATTATTCGTATATATATATATATATATATATATATATATATATATATATATATATATATATATATATATATATATATATATATATATATATATATATACATATACAGGGTATATAATCTCAGTATTCTGAAGAAAGCCTGAAGTACCGAGTCAAAATTTGGATAATGATATATTATTTTACTTAGGTTCTTGTCAGTTATATTCACTAAGCGAAATATTTTGTTTCTCTTAGGTCCTTGTCAATCCACTTTTGCTCTTCAAAGTAGCAGTGAAACCATAAGAGGTCCAGGCTATCCTGGCTCCTATCCAAACAACACCGTGCACTGTTGGCGTATCAACGTTCCAGCGAACAACGTGGTTATATTCACTATAAATTCTCTGAACATGGAAGTGTGTCACGAATGCAATTGTGATTCAGTTGAAGTATTTGACGGCATCTCCGAATCTTCTAGAAGTCTTGGGAAATTTTGTTCAGGAGGAAGTTTGAAGCGAATTTCTTCTGGTCGATCTCTTTTTGTAAAGTTTACTTCAGATGAGTCGAACGTTGGAGATGCCTTCACAGCATCCTATCACATGGTAGCTGAGGGTAAGAATACTGTCGATAAATTAAATACTGCATGCTACCCAGTGATGGGAAACTACTTTCCCATTTCTTTATATGTATATGATAAGCGAAACTTGGCAACGATGCCATGTTGGATATCCTTACAGGGTGACGGGTTATCTGGTAATGAAACTCGGAAATCTTTAAAGGGGAAATATTTAAAGCAGGAATCTTAATTTAGAATACAACTTAATGCCTGAAGTAAAAAGTGTCGGCCAATTATAGCAAGTATCCAAAATTTGAGACTGTATATATTTTGAAAACAATGGATCTACTACTTTTTTTTCCGAAAAGAGAAAACATAATAGGCATGTCCGTCAGGGATTCCATGCATGTAAATTTCAGCATATACTCTGGAAAAGGTTCAAAGTTCATATTGTTTACACGAGTCATCGTTTTTCCCAAGCTGTGGAATATACAATCGCAATAATCTTAATGAATTTATCGTTCACAAGTTGTGCCTGGATTTATTCGTATCATCCAGAAATTGGCATGTTGAATTTCTACAAAAAAAATTAAGAGCAGATGTCAGTAAGGAGCGAGTGAAGTGCGGCGCAAGTTCGAAAAATCACCCATCCTCATACTTTGTCCAAAAACAGTCCACAGTGAACCAATAAACGTGATGGGTTTCTTTAGCGTTCCTTCTTCTTCACGCGAAAATTCGCAAAAATTATTTTGACCGATAAAATACAGAAAGCAATTGAGAACAGATCAAATACAGAAAGCAATTAAGAACAGATAAAATCAAGAAAGCAATTGAGAATGGATACTATTCATGCGGCATATTTCTAGATCTATATAAAGCATTTGATACAGTAAACCACCACCTCTTACAAAAATTACACATGATTTCACATGTGTGAAATTTCACTTGTGAATTTGGAGCATGTGATATTTCACATGTGAAATTTCACATCTGAAATTATGTTTCGCATGTTCCAAATTCACATGTGAAACTTCACATGTGAAATTTCACATGTGAAGTTTCACATGTGAAACACATAATTTCGCATGCGTTCACATGTGAAAAATCACATGTTCCAAATTCACATGTTCCAAATTCACATGTGAAATTTCACATGTGAAACTTCACATGTGAAACACATAATTTCACATGTGTTCACATGTGAAAAGTCACATGTTCCAAATTCACATGTTCCAAATTCACATGTGAAATTTCACATCAGCAACTTTACATGTGAAACAAATAATTTCACACGTGTTGACATGTGAAACTTCACATGTGAGATATCACATTCTCCAAATATATACATGTGAAATATCAAATGTTCCAGTTTCACATGTGAAATTATGCAAAGCTTCAATCATGCACATTTAAACCTGTCAAACAGTGGGATACTGTAATGGTATATATAGGAAGTTTAAATAATTTACTAGAAAATACATGAATGCAGAAACCCTCGCCTTGCTGACAAAACCATTGTATTTTCCGAACATGAAGTATCTAAAGTAGTTGTCATGGTAACACGATAATTTCTTAAGAATATTCTTACAAATGAAAAATCGCTTAAAAATATCACTTTTAATTACAAAATTATCAATTTCCCAACATATATATGTTAAGTATGATATTATACGTAATATAAGCTTCAATTTAAGGTAAAATTCAACCACAGACGCTTCGCAAAACGTTTTAAAGTGTTCTTTATAAAACTAAACTGCCTTTATTCTTCAATTAAATGGTTCTGATTAAATGGCTTTATCGATAAACTTTGAGTTTGCAATAAAATGATTTCAAATTCTCGCATGCAAATAACTTTGCTTTCTTTTTTATTTAAAAAAATTCAACATAATAAAAAAGGGAATCAATATTAAAGATACACTGAAATGATATGCTGTCTTGTTTAGTTGTTGCATATACGCAAAGGCCGTCGGGCTTTAAAGCAATTATAAAATCAATGTTTAAAACAAACTTACCTTCGTTAACGTCGGCTCCCTTCTTTTAGCCGATTCTTTCGCCATTTCTTTCTTGAAATTTACAAAATCTTGCAAAAATGCGAGCAAAAATGAAATATATTTGCAAGAAATTTATCCTGAATCATCATTCATCAAATAAAGAAATGTTTGCTATTTCTCTGTCGTCATGCAGTCGTTATAATGCAAACTTTAAATTCGACCAATCACAGTGTTCGCTATTCATGACAGTCCGCCATATTTTTGAGATGAGTGAGGATGACCACCCACGGTTGGTGACCCACGCCCGCGATATTTGATGAACTTTAGACTTCGCTAATGCTTTCGTTTCCCCGGGTGTAAATAGCCAGGGGGGAATTAGTACCCTCGCACGGCGCTTCGCGCCGTCGGCTCGGGGATTAATACAGTTAATTTCTACAAATGTTTAGCTGCCATACAAAATAATTTATAATAAGGAAAAAACTTAGCAGTTCAAATATCTTCTGCAATTTGTCTTCTTTTCGTATCAGCATTTCTTTTTCTTTGCACTTTTGGGTCATGACAGCTTTCACTGATGAAACTGTTGCTCCCGGAAAACGTTTAGTCACATGAGCAATAAGAAAGGAAATACAAGATTATCATAAGCTCTACATACTGTATTTCATGTACCGGTACTGGAACTCCAGCCAGTTAACATTACAGTATATAGCACAAGTTCACAGTTTGCATGCAGCAATATGGGCAATTCCCTCTTGTCCAACCTCTAAACTTTGCACATTATCACGAATGGGAAGACCTAATGTAGTAGCACAACCCAACCTTTGGTTTAAGTTGGTTCGAGTAGTATCATAATTGATAACCCTTTGGTCATATGGCTTTTACCCCGACTCGTCCCCAGTAATGTATTCTCTGTGTGGGCGATACATGGTAAATTGGAAACTGCTGCAAGGCTATCTTTTCAACAAGTAAAACTGTAAAATTTGCTGGCATTAGACAGAGTAATATAACTAGTAGAGCATATTGCCAATGAATGGGTTAACAAGAGAAATATGCATTAGATAGGATTTGTTAACAGACATCTCAACAGCACCCCCAATATTTTGCGAGGTATCTGCTTCTGGTTGTTGGCATTTGTGATTTAATATGCTATTGGCTCATTCCAGAAAACATTGAATAGATTCATAAGAATATGATTTATCCTTAGTTATATTAGATAGGAGTGCTACTTGTTCCACTAACCAACTGAGTGATATTACTGACAAGTAAAATCATCTGACATTGGGTCATTCCAGAGAACATCGATACCTCCACCATGAAGGAAATTGGAAGTTAACCCACTATCCCA